GTATCCAATGTCCATCTAATGGTCCTATGGTGGACCCTGCAATCCTCGGGTTCGTAAGATCTTGAGCTTCTTTGCCTGTATGTAAACAGAACGCAATGAACAATGGCTTTGCTTTCTACTGAAAAACCGCAGACGAAAATAGAAGTTCCAGACTTGCGCCAGGTTGATTTTTGCTTATTTCGCTTTCCCCATGTCCCGGGGGAGAATTTTGAGTAAACTCCGTATACTTTTTAAAGAACGTTTTCCACCGTCAATACTTTTTACCTCTGGACGACCGTACCAAATGGACAGTACATCCCAAAATTCAGTCATCGCCTTAGTAATTAATTCATTCTGTTGTCTACTAGCCTTGGGGCATAGTCTAGTCCTGTCTGCACGAGAACCCACAATTCGACACTAGTGCCATTTACTGCAATGTGCTTAACGTGAATAACCAGAGATTCAGAGACAAAGGACCTTTTGCCTGTGGGAATATTAACTTCTCTCCATAATGGTCGTTTCTGGAGTCTGTGTGTGTAAAAGGGTTCTTCGAATACAACTGTCAACGAGGAATTGAAACAAATGGTATCATTAATCATGTGTCAAGTCTTTTCAATGTACCGCCCTTTGGCCTTCGGGCACTGGGATTACACAAGAATGCGTGGAATGCGACGTCGCGGGAACCTCGCATGTGGTGCTAACAAAATGTTCTTCACCGACGTAATTTACTCCAGTATCCTCACTACCAGCTTTACTAGTATCCTTCCCCTGAAAATGCCCGACCACGTGTATCAGACATATCCACCGTTCGAATTAGGACATAATTTGTCCAGACTAACTCGAAATGCTGTCGGTATTACAATTTCACGAATGTTCGTAATTACTAAGTTCCTGATTTTGTGGTTAAACTGTTCAATTTTCAGGGTTGTCAGTCTAAACATTTCAAAATGTTTCGAGGTACCTATAATGCCAGACGATTTGTGGTTTAAGGTGCCTGTCAGTTCGTTCATTCATTAAACCATGGTTGGCGGCGAACGTAATTTTGAGCGCCTCATCATACCACCTTTTTGTTGAATCATTACCACTTTTGCTCTTTCTGCTGCAGCACTGAAGAAACCGACCCACTGCTATAACGAGCAGTCCCCCTATAGAGCTATAGCATAAGTTCATACCATGAATAGGTCACTCTGTGAACATTCAAAGCGATCAGGCTTTGCGTGCCTATGAGTGCATTCCCTCTCTACAAAGCTCTCTGTACGAGTTCCGGCTTCTGCTACAAGCTAAAGGGTCTAAATAGAACGGAAAAGCAGTTAGACATATTTTGTCCTGTCAGTGAAGCCAGTCCATACTGAAAACAGAGATGCATTGTACAGCTGTTTTATCCCTGTTGGGAGTCAGCAGCGACGTACATCTCAGGAAGCTCGGAGAGTTTTGAATCCTCGACTTTCTGGCCAGTGGGTGGAGACTTGGTCGTTCAGCCAATAGCCAAAATGATAGGATGAAATCCCAGTTGAAATTTACCGAATCTCCTAAAGCTACCAAGTATACCCAACTGTCAAAACTCTAAGATAGCACCTGAAAAAATACTGGGATGATTAGTGGTGAGTATAGACAAAACGAAGGATTTCAGACCCATTTGATATTAATTAATAACAGCGTAAGTATCACTGGCTAAACTTATCCGTGAGTAGTAAATCGTTCACTGAACTTGGCGATTTTACCACCGTGAGACATTTTGTCCGCTCCCCCTCCCTCATAAGGATCAGTATCCACTGCGCAAATGACTTCAGCAATTGAATGAAGCGTTACTGTGTAAGGAAGGTGGTCATATTTCGGCGAGATAGACAATTTACCTCATATGTTGACTTACGGTCAGATGAGATAGAAGGAAGTTGTAAACCAGCATTCGTACATTTCTGCCAACAGACCACGACTGCGGTTATTAAAAACCAATGCAGAAGTGACTATCTTCCACTCACCGTCTGGAACTTAATCCTCACCAACAAATCATTATTCTAAAAGCACTGCCACTAGGGACCAAGCACTTCGAGCAACCACCTCAAAATTGATCGCCTTTCACTGCACCCCAGTGATAAGCTCTTGAAACAAAATCCACTACCGTAAAAATCATCGAAAGTGAAAGATGAAACTCAGTATCATGGTTTGGTTGAAAAGATAGAGCATCGTTTTGTGACCGATGGTAACCGATGATCACTCCTAAGAATTTTCTAGTTTGAGAACATGGAGTCTCTTTCGAAATTTAGAAGGTCCACCGGTTATGCTGAAGCCTTTGCTTGCCAAGAAGGACTTGGATAACATCGTGAACAAAAGAAATTCGATATTCTTACCAAACGAAGAACTTGATGCGTCTTTCTGAACGTGGGTCCTTGTTGATTACAATTTTCTTTAGACCATCTGTTTAATCGCAAAACAAAACTAGTCAAGAATTGTTGTCTACTCATCATTCTGACAGGTATGTTGCAGCCACAACGATGTCATTAAACACTTATCCGGTCAAACATCTGCGTAGGTTTGTGTGCTCAAAAAAAAACGGGGTTACGTCTGTTTAAAGTAAGCTGCCCACGGTAAGACTGATCTACCTGTAAAACAGCGCAAGTCCGATAGATGTCATTAAACACTTATCCGGTCAAACATCTGCGTAGGTTTGTGTGCTCAAAAAACGGGGTTACGTCTGTTTACAGTAAGCTGCCCATGGTAAGACTGATCTAACTGTATAACAGCGCAAGTCCGGTAGCATCGGACAGCCTTGGACTATCCCACTTTGTCTACACATAAACAGCGATTAACAAAGCTATTGCGGTGGACAAAGGAACTTGAGGGTGGTGTCAGATAATCAAAAGCCACGACTGGTTACGAAAATAAACAAACTGATACCTACGCTCACCGCCTTCTCCTGTCGTTCACTGCTCGAACAGCAGTTCTCACCACTGACCCGAGAAACGCCTCACTAAACGGTTGGAGACATCACAACAGCGAACTTTTCCGACATAACTGATTTGACTTTGCCATCGGTTCAGTGGATATGATGCGCATAACCCCTTTCGTTGGAACAGGTTACGACTGCACCATAGTGCTACATTGAAACGAAGCACACAGGATTGATAATTACTAGTATTACCATGAGCCTTTTAGTTACAACACAGCCTACTTTCGTCGCCAATCAGTTATCTTGGTTTGAGGTTCTCATTTTAGTGTACTCAAGTAGAACAAGATGGCTCAGTGGTTAAGACATGATCCTACTGACCGACAGGTCTGTGGACATCTTGGCTGCTCCTGTTTAGGCTTGGACAACCTAGTGGTACATCAGCCTACGTGCTTCCTTCAAGCGACGGTGGTGGCTAAGCAAAGCAAGAATAGTACAACTGTACGACTGCTATTCTTGTTATTAGTTTGAAAGAAAATTGTAAAGACTTGGTGCACCACGTTGATATTTCAAAACCATGTTCATGCGAGAGTGTTGTAAATATGGTGCGTTTACTCCAGACGAAGCTGGGTAATCCTTCGAAAATTTGGACGACCGAGTACCAGTGGGATGTGGAACGACTACTACCGGTCATTGCTACTTTGAGGAAAAACCCCTACTGAAAAACGGTTTTTGGTGTTCTTCGCAAGTGTTCCCATGTGGTGAGAGTATTGTGCAACCCGATACCTGATTCTTTCCAGTCAAGGTTGATGCAAAGAATACTCAGCGAATTCCACTTATCTGAGCCGTTAGTTCAACTATGACAAAACCGTCCGTTTCTTCGTGAAGTAACGTTAAAAAGGGTGACATTAAGATGTGGCCGAGTCTATCGATTTTCCTAATCAACATAACAAATGAGGAATTAATGACGGGAGGCTTTCTAACAATTGTTTATTGCGTGGTATGTTTGTCAACTGGCATCGTTTCTTTTCAGCAGACCTAGTACTGGATTAACGTCTTTCATACTATTATATTCCCAGACGTTCTATTTTGGTTAGTTTACGTCGGATCTAACTGTTAGTCAGCGTCGTGATCCATGTTGTCGTGAGTGTTGATGACCGGGGAGCATTCATATCACGCATTTTAACGAATCGGCATAGGTATATGCTGTTATCATTTGCCCAAGCTTTATTGCACGCACCAGCTTATGCTTGCACTGTCATTTGACAGCTGACGTCCATCACGCAGGCGCGCTGATCCCTGAATCGGTCATGTTGACTCTGCAGGTGTCCATGCACTACTTGACTTTTGTAACAGCCGATTCTCGTAACAATGTGACGCTGTTTGTGGTTCATTCTCCCGTGTCTTTGAGTTTGACACTTTCTGAAGGCCATATTGAAGTGTCATTCTGCCTATCCATGTCATCAACTGGATATAAAGCAATCTTCGGATACATAGCGGATGGCCCCTTCCAATCCTTTGGAAAAGTAGGAAAACCGGTGCACTCTTCGTTCATCAGTGGGAGTCGTATTTCAGCAAACCACGCAGAAAAACGTGTGGTTTCTGTAGCGGAATTAGGTTCCCGAATTAGGGGACGGATGACGAATGAATAGAGAGGAAGTGGTGGCACAGCGATGGGCGCCGTCAAAAAAACGTTTGTGCAAATGCGAGCGTAGGTGATGAAAGACGGCGAGATCGCTAAGACAATTAACCGTACGACAAAATTGTATTGTGATGTATCCAGTGAAAACGGGGGGAAATTCAACGGTACCGCAGGTTCTTCAGTCTATGGCAGACCAGTAACGTGGCTGGGAAGTTCGTGACATGTGTGGGTTCAGTGAACCCAAGTACATCTAAACCAGTTACGACTGTCCAAGCCTAGTCTGAAATTAGCCCTGTGGTCACCAGCATAACAATCACGTCATTCTGTGACGGTCGTCCCAATATCCAATCACAGTTGAGCTCTGCCGACCAACCATCGTGCAAGTGTGTTTGAACCCGGCTTCACTGAAGCCGTCCTCGTAGGATATCACACGTGCCTTGTTCGTACTCTGAACTTAATGTATCTGCATTGGTCTGTTGCCCGTTTTCATTCTCTATGAAGCGGATCCCGCACGGAAAATCAGAAATTTACGGTCCAACACAACTCTACAATGAAACAGAGCCAGCCTGGACAGAATCGAGTTATCGAACAGAACCTGTTGTATACAATTCACCGGACAGTGACTTATGTGTGTTCACAGCGGAACAAGTGGAGTGCATCTGTGAAGTTCTATACGTCCGGAATGATACAGGACAATTACGTCGATTCTTCACCAAACTCCCGTCGCACATGAACCCTCTGCTTGAGAACATGGAAAGCGTCCAGAAAGCAAAAGCCTTATTATCGTTCGCGGACGGAAACTGGGATGAACTATTCCGCATACTTAAATCTTTCAAGTTCAGTCCACATTGTCACTCACAGCTTCAACAGCTATGGTTAGAAGGCCATTATGCAGAAGCTTCTCAAAGCAGAGGACGTCCTCTGGGGCCGGTTGGGAAATATCGCATCCGAAAACGGTTTCCGTGGCCTAGAACCATTTGGGATGGAGATGAGGTTACTTACTGCTTCAAAGAAAAATCCAGACACGTGTTAAGAGAGTCTTTTCTTAGGAATCCCTATCCGTCTCCCTCAGAGAAACGTGAATTGGCCAATAGGATTGGTCTAACACCGACCCAAGTGTCAAACTGGTTCAAAAATCGACGACAGCGAGGACGAGTTAATGGATGTACGGATTCTCTGGTAAGTCTGTTCAGATATCTGTCCGTACAACCAGCTGAACAATCCTCATCTTAGCGGGTTTCATTCGATCTGCACACGCCTAACTAAAAAACTTATTCAATTTCGGTCTCGTACATGCGTAAGAGGCCGGTCACATCACGTGTGATGAAAGAGCTTTTGAGTTCCGCTTCATTAACCCGATCCTTATCATCAAAAATAGGGAGTAGGATAGATTTAAATGGTCTTTGTGGATGTGGAGGAGATAAACGTACTCAGTTCTGAAAAGTCAGTCTGAAATACAGATGTCTCACCTGCATAGATCACCTAAACTGTCCCACAGAAAGTACCTTTCTGAGAGAAGGATTATTGTTGCTGTAAGCTTCTGAAGAAGGCTATTAATTTCCACCCAAATACCAAGCACTGAATATATGACTGGTAAAAGTCAACTTCAAAGAGGTTTTGTGAAATTGCTGCCGTGAGATCTCTAGAAAAATCAAAAACACGCCCTCACCAATGGTTCGGCTTGGACTGAATCCAAAATCTGTTTAACGATAACAATCAAGAAAGTTAGTCAGCCGTCTGCTGCATCCGTATTCAATATGCAGCAAGAGGACGGGGAGCGCCAAACGTAAATGTTTTACTTGTAGCTGTCGGCCGTAGGTGCAAGACGCGAAACATCTTGTGCAGGGAAGTATCGAAAGAATGCGGCATTTATTTACAGGAGGATGGGAGAATTGTGAACTTTATGGTGTATACAAATTTTTTATCCATGCTTTTCGCGTGCACACAGCCAGTTTCCCGTAATATCACTAAACTGACAACGATGAACTGTGTGAATCACACCGATAGCCAGGTTTCAGAGCACTGCGCGGTATAAATACTCTTTAAATTCATGCTATCGATTGTTCTGTGCGTGGCAGCCGATGTTTTGGTCCACAATACCTGTTTTGAGAAATGTTCAACTATTGTATGTCATAGACACCGATCTACTCCGTCAGTGCACACCTTAAAGGCGCTGCAGGTGATGTGGCATCTCATATGCCATTTAGATGATCCTGGGTTTGACAGCTAACTCGAAGAGTGATCCACCTTGTGTTTGAGCCGAACGCTAACTGTTCGTCTGGTATCTGTCAAATGCTTGCTATCATATGGGTACCGCACAAGGCAAAATCACCCCTGCATTTACGAGTCCAAATAAAACGTCTCATATTTTGCCAATAAATATCTAAGATTAACTCCATACTTCCCGTCGGACACAAGCTACATATCAGATTCAACTAGTACTGTTGCACTGAGACAGTGGGAAAACTCCAAGTTATCAATTCACAGACACCAAGGTGAAAAGGTCATCGGGGAGATGTTTTGTTAGAACCTATTCTTAACACGCTTTCACACTGGTAGGCGGGATGCCTGGTGTGTCTGCTTGATCTCATTCGAAAACTCCCTACTGTCTGAAAGATTCTGTTCGGGCCCGTGTTGGTTTGGGGCTTATGTCATTGTATCATCACGCGATTGGCTCCATCAACGCCGACTCTGTATTTATAAATATTTCAAAGAGCGTTAATTGCCTATTTGATTACATTATAAATTAGAAGGTTAGCCTGCGATCCTGGTTCGAAACTATTTGCCTCAGCTATGAATGGAATGATAATTTATAGCTAAATGGTGTGGTGCAGCCACCGAAATCTGTCCGGCGTGTTTTTCTTTAAGACAAAGCGAAAAGTAGGTATCAATATCAGTAACATCCACCACTTCAGACGATATTCTTGCGATATTTCCAAAGTTAATTTGGTTACAATTTCAGTTCGTTTTTCAACGAGCGTCAACAATACTATTCGCAACATTTCATAGTCTCTGAAGAACTTGGATATCACAACCGTTTAGAATTATTGATGTCTAAATCACTACGAAGATTGAATTAAGCAAAGGATTATCGGTAAAGTAAGATTTACTGAAGTGTTCAGCGTCTTCAGTTCACTGGCTGTGCGCAATTGGCCTTGAGGTTAGCGGACAAATATGATTCGCGGATCGGTGGGTACTTATAATGAAATGTCACCTCGAGGAAGAGCAAGATAAAGATTTGTCGATCATTTGCTCATGAGTATTCCTGTGTTTTTCATGTCGAAACCGATATTCGACAAAAGATTTCGTCATCCTGTAAACAAACAAAACTAGCGACGCGGTTACTGGTTACGATCAGGTGGATCATTTTTCGGGTAAGACATCTGAAACTCATGCCATCTGTTCCGCATATGACATACTTGTTTACATGCAGTGTCTGTGGCCTTTGCATTTATGCCTCGGGCAATGAACAGCTGATTAGATTCGAGAACGAGTGTTACGAGTGAGCAGCAATTACCATACTCATAAGAGTCGACCAAAGAATTCCAAGGACCTTCAACGGCGTGTCAAGTGTGGGGAACGGGTCTCCCTTTTAATCTATACAGTACACTGCCGTTCTGGTGACAGAGTCCGTACCCGAGAATGTCCGCGTTCATTGCGGTAACTTTGTCAGAACTGGGGGGCGGACGGTACTGTGCACAAAGAGGTATTGGGAAGAAACTTATCGATATTGTGAAATTAGCCGTAAACAATATACCATTTCTTTCCGCTTTTTGCTCCTATGCTTATACGTATTAACTGGTAAATGCTATGTCTATAGTACGATGAACCTATATTCCGATGACCTACCCATCCGGAACTAGTACCAAGGTGACGGAAATATCTGGTCACATAAGACAAGATTAAAATCACGACACCTTGACATTTGTTTCGCGGTCTTTGCTTTCGAAAGTAAAATGAACAAGACGCAAGAAGTCAGCAGTAAAACTAACACGTACAATAGGTCATGCTTGTCACATGAGTCAAAATCTCTTCCACAATTTGTCCTGTCTGATAGTCCTAAGTTGGTTTCACACCCATGACAGTTAGCAGTTTGGTCTCCAGTTTTCTTAGGAAGAATCTGCAACAATCTGTAGAGTGGACGCAGTTACTAATTTCCAGGCCGACAGAAAATAATAGCAGCTGGTCCGACTCTGCCTCTGCTCCATACGGGCTAGCTGTCACTTTAGTGGACTTAAAGGTAGAAGTCAAGTTAAGTGTCACTGCAGGTGCACCAGAACTCATTGAGTTCCCGGATTGCGAATGAAATTTTCACCAGCTTACGTACTGTAGAAGCAGTTGTGGATCAAGATAATGGCAGACGATTTTTCTCTGAATCTCGGTAAATTCCTGCTCGCTATCAACCGTGAAAACAGAAGGGCCTTGTTCGTTGAAGTGATAACTCATAAGGTTTATGAAAAATGGATTTTAAGATCTGACCACTTCCA